GAACTTTATTCTATACTATAATAGTCCTGAAAGCAACTTGTTCTGTGATTCATGAGATATTTTGCTAATAGTACAAACATATTTTGGAATCTCTTTTGGAGATGAGACATATCTTAACATCTTACGCGTGCGCACATGCACACACACACATACGGAAACATATGTCCGTACGCAAAGACGGGTATAGACACAAGACTAACAGAGAGAGTTTAGACCCACCATAAACTAAATGTAGATTTTGGAAAAAGCAGGAAAAAATAAAAGAAATAATCCCAAACTTTTTCCACAGTACACCAAGTTTTATTGACACATAAAAGCAATACAGTACTTTATATACATCTTTGATAGTATTTACAAAATCAAGAGCCCATAGACGTTACACATGTAGAAAAATATGCATCCACTTCTATAGAAATATGTACACAATGTGCAAAACATATGGCATTACGAACAAGAGGCGTGGCGTGGGTGATCGAGACAGATGGGAGACCCGGGCTGCTATAGGAGTCGTGAAAATCCTTCCTGATATGTTGGACCACCTGCTGCTGAGAGAGACGAGGCCTGAGCCCAAACTCGTCCCAGCACCCTAAAAGCCCACATGGAGCCGCTCACACATGAAGTGCTCTTACGCTGCATTACTCTGTAGTAAAGGCTCTTGGATGGAGAAGAAAAACAAAGACCAAGGGTCAAGGCTAGATGTGACATGCAGTACAGTACATAGAGGGAGAGCAGCCGTTATTGCTTTTACCTGCCCTCGTGGCCCGGACAACCACCGTGCAAAATCACATCGAGCGTAGCTTTACTGCAGCCAAGAACTTGGTGGATCAAATATAAACCCAAAATATACACTTTAACACCTTGAACGGTTGTCACATGAGTATCGTAAATCATATACAAAAAGAATACACAAATAAAAGACATTTAACAATACACTGAAATTTTAGACAGTGTCAGATTGGACTGGAGAAAACAGGAAATAAAACTGAAACCAGCAGCATGTGGAGTATACTACCACACAGCAACATGGTGGGAAAACAAACAGTTATGTTGGGGTCCAAAACTTTGACACAACTTTAAGGAACTGAAGGTGTCTGAACCCATGTGACCTCTGATGTGGTCCTCTGGACAGTGGCATGTTTATTGAATAATAATTAAAAAAAAAAAAGCAAATAAGTTTTGCAGTGTTGGCATTATTTGTTCACGTGGTCAAACAGCTCAGATACAAGATGAACACAATAAATGCACCAGCACAAGCAGAAAACATTCCTCTCAGTTCATTTTAGTGATGGTCTTAGAGAGGCATCGCCCTCTAGTGCCCGTGGATGTAACTGCAGGAGGAAGTGGTCCAAACATCTGATCTGAACAGGTTTATTAGTCTGTGCAGGTGAACTGTAGGAATATTCACAGGAAACATCACATCTGTAACTTCACTGATAAAACATTAAGTGGAATAAAGATAAAAAGGTACTCATTGCAAAGCATAAAACATAAAAATATACGATGTTTTTATATACGATATGAAATTCTGATTTGCAGGTATGCGCTCAGTGTAAACAAAGCAGTTGGGTGAACCCGTTGAAAACCATGCAAGTCATGTGACCTACATGAGGCCAGCTGTAGTCTGTAGGTAAACGAAGGTGGTTGAACGTTCGGCGGAAATTTTAATCTGCTAAATGTGAAACAAAGCTGGAGTGAGACAAGAATAAATATCAGGGATCAAACAGGGTGGAGCGTCTTAAAGACGGAGCTCAGCAATGAGAAACATCTTTGTGCTGAATGATTCCAACTAGGGCTGAACGATTTAGGAAAATATTCTAATTGCAATTTTTTTTTTAACCTCAATATTGCGATTTAATATGCAATACTTTTTCAATGTAGTCTTCTCATGTATTTTTTAATTAACACAAGCAACAAATCTGTTTCAGTTTAAAAAAACTCCACTGTTTTCAGCTCTGCTACAAATATCTGCATGTTTTGTGTAGCTCCAGGACAACTTGACTAAAATGTGTGCACGAGGGCATTCTGTACCGCTGATCCACTGCGTTTACCAAAGCTGTAAACCCAGGCTTGGTCACCGTATTAACAGGCATCATGTCTTTCACTATGAACTCCGTTACTGCTCGAGTTATTTCTGCGTGTCATTTTGAACTTTGTTCATACGGAGGAACATCTTGGAACAGTTCGGTCACTGATCCTGTCGACTGCTACTTTGCTTACTTGAAGTTGAAACACTGGTTGTTGACATTCTAGTCATGCAACTATTGTAAATGCAATTAATTGTTCAGCCCCATTTCTAAACCCGCCCCCAATGTAGGAGCACGCCTGTAAACTTTTACCAAAATCTGAACGTACACATTAACCATCAATGAGAAAACTAAAGTGAGATTTTTCTTCGATCAAGATTATTTTTATTTTTTGATCAGTCTTCATCACTTTGCAATGAGTACCTTTAAGAAGAAACCTCACGTCAAGCCCTGTGTGTCTGCGTGCTCTCGACTGGAACACCAACAGAACCACCGAAACAAGGCGGTCATCAGAAGACAGGCAAGCGAAGAGCAAGGAACTGTTTTTGTTTTACAGCGGAGTTTGAAACACACAACAGTCATGCACACAGAGAAGCGTGTACATGCAAGAAGGGAAGACTAATCCACACTTGAGCCACAGCAACACGCTTCCCACACGCCACCGTAGCTGATGAGTTGCACTGGAATACTCCAACTTCTAAGAGTTGCTGGTCACTTCATGTTGGGTTCATAAAGTCAAGTAGCTCATGAGCTGCAGAGGATTTTGACTAAAATGGCTGCTGGCTCGTCATGCAGCATCTTCCCATCCAGACACACACAGTGCAGCGATATTGTGTTGTGGCTAGATATAAAGCTCAAAGACGTCTTCATCCTCCGATATGACTCGCAGCACACTGAACATCAAACTGATTTTTTGCTCCCTTCGTATTGTTTTTTTTTGTCAGTTTATAAGTTAAAACAAAAAAAATAAAACAAGCTGCCAAACTTTCAGTAAAGTCTGTTTTTGTGTTGTGTTTTTAAAAGTTACATTCAAAAGAAGGAACTTGGACAACTGCAGAGCAACACGACCGTTATGCTGATTACAATCGCAGAGATCATCACCTTGGATATGCAGCGTTCACATTTTATTGTTCCGAGGCGTTTGTTTTATTTTTTGCCCAGACATGTCTGCCTCCATTTTAGTGCATAGCTCTCACATGGACATCGGAGCTCGGTCCTCTGTCAGATTCTTTAGTTAAGAGTCGTCGTCTGATCGGTGCGGACACGAGGAACACGCCTCGCATCAACAGATTTGTCGGCAAACAAGTCGCCCACAGTATGCGGCAGACTGGACCAGTGTGTGTAGAGGACTCACCTCTTTTAAAACTTGGCGGCAGACTGAGGGCACGCAGCTTCCATGGATATGGCTGTCCTCAAAGCACTTACTGGTTTGATCAAAGCTTTTCTTTTTTTTTTAATTAAAGGAAAGTGGTCACTATCTGAGCCTGCACTCAAGTTCACACATCTATTGGAAAATAAAATAATTTTGGTTCTTAATTCTAACTCTAGACAGAGTCATTAGAGACACTTCTGTTGTGACCAGTAATGGCACATGGCCAGCGTCTCACGACTAATTATCTCAAAACGATCAGATTCTTTCTTACAGGCCTGCTGCTTGAATTTTGAACGTGTTGGAAAATTTGTACAACTTCATCCCAGATTCGTCATGGGCGATGTTACTCAACACTTGCCCTGGAGCTCGACATCCAGCCATGAATGTCCAGGTATGTGGAACTGCTGCCAAGTGCTGGATGTGTGCAAGGCCTACAGTTCTGTGTAGGATTTACACATCACGTCAAACACTGGTTGTGCAAAACATGGCCACATGGTTCACTTGTTAGCAAACACTGCAGACAACTGCTGGTCTTTGTCCAAATTTCTTGCAAATTTGAGTCTCCAGCTAATCCAACAGTTTCAGCCCAGTGAGACAGTCCATTTAGTGCAGGGGTGTCAAACCCACTTACTAAAGGGGCCAAAATTAAAACAGTTTTCAAACTAAGGGCCAGTTTCAGAATCTACATTAACTCAAGTTAAGATACCAAACATCTTTTCTTGGTTGCAGGTTCCTCAACAAGAGTTTGGTCTCATTTGACGTTCCCTGTTGCACTTTTGACATCATAATCAAAGATTACTGAAAATAATTAAAGTCTTTTACATTTAAAATATCATCTTAGGGGCCAGATAAGATGTCAATGAGGGCCACATTTGGCCCCCAGGCCTAGAGTTTGACACATGATCTAAAGCTAGGATCTCACTGGGCTGAAACTTTTGGAAGCAAATTGGTACAGCATTCACAAGTCTCTAAATTGTTGCAAAAGGTTCACAAAGAATTTCAATTTCTTTGTGCAAGTCCTATAATATTTTAATATTAGGTCATCGCAGACATCTGAAATCCAGCAGTTTCAAATTTAGTTGTCATACTTCTGGACGACTACAGCGTTTATCTTTAATGTCTGCAAACTATTTACCAAATTTCCACCTGGAGTCCAGCCGTGATTTTAAGTGAAACTTTGCATATTTCTTCACGATTTAGTGTCTCCAACAGTAACATCTCAGTGACAGTTTTACACACTGAGCTTTGACAGAAAACTTCTCACTGAAAGCCAGCCAGTGAAGCCTACCGTAGAAATAATCAGGCTAGTTATCCATCATCAATACTACTCAGGATCTCAGGGAGAGTAATCTATTAGTGTGGCTTAAAGAGTATTTACAAACAGTCTCCTGGTGGCCCCGTCTCCTTGGGTCTGGAGACGAGTGATAAATCCTGACATCCGATGCTGACGGTCTGCTCCTGTTATCACATCTGCTGCAGTGACATCACTTCAGGGTGGATGTGTCCCCGGCAGCTCAACAATCACCGGATTTCAAGCTGTGCAAACTCAAGCTGTGCAAACCCCTGTGCCTGCTGAAGAATCGGCCTGTAAAGTGTCGCGTTCTGTGGTGTAGTAGGAATCTTACAGATGTTCTGAGTGATTTGGCACAGAAAAGCCAAAACGCCATGGTTTCTCCTCTTCAACCCGTTTGCAGCCTCATCTCGTCAGTCCCAGTGCAGCTGCAGGTCGTGCGTGTCCAGGAAGTCCGACGGAATCCCCAGCGGTGTGAGCGGTGCCCCTGTGGGACCCGGAGGCATGGTGAGGTCCAGCCATTCCATGTTGTCCAGCACCGGGTCAGACAGGCCCATGGTGAGCGAGGAGGGGGGCGAGGAGGAGTTGCAGAAGGACAGCTCTGACGTGTCCATGGGCGAGTAGGGCTGCTGGTCCACTAACTGAGCCTGCAGCTCCTCCATCAGGCCCTGCGTGCGAGGGTCTGACACGTGCAGCGCTCCGGCTAGAGTCCCCTCCAGAAAGGCCTCCAGCTGATTGTCTGTGCCCAGGGGGGAGAGCCCAGGCAGGCTGGGGGTGATGGCAGGGGTCAGTGTAGGGGGAGGAGCTACCTGGACCTGTGGAGGCGGCCTGGACAGGACGGTGTTGACGGGAAGAATGGTGATGTTAGCAGTCACTGGAAAAGTCTTGTTAAGAGAGGCTGGGGGGTCCTGCTGGATAAATGGAGTGATTTCTAGAGGGGGGAGTCAAAGATTAGGAAATCATTACAATCTGCAAACATTTATTTATGTCACCGAGCTGAAAACAAACACTCACCTCCACTTTCTATGAGAATGTCAAACAAGTCATCCATGTGCTGGCTCGTTGCCGTGGAAACCTAAGACATTCAAGGACATCAGGACACTTGACTACGGTGAAAAACAAACATTTCTGTTCTGAATTTACACAGCAGCGCTGTTCTTATAGAAACGCTCCAGTCTGGTGAAAAACTAAACGACAAAACGAGGCCAACGAGCTTCGATCCGTTTCAACATTTCAACCGGAGTCGAGCTTTTTCTTCATGTACCTTCAGTCCAGGTCACAACTGCAGCTCTGTCTGTGTTCCCCATGTTCTTTAGCTGAGCCGTCCATGTTTTCTTTTGGGAATTGAGTGGAGAAACAGACTTTCGCACTTTACACACTTCTGATTGTGTAACAGTTTCAAACCATGCTGCATCGGTTCAGTACACAAGAACAGGAAGATCCATTTATAAACATTTAGCTTAAATACGCGACGGGTACGACTGTCAGGGGAATTCTGGTGAAGGTTTATGGATGTTTATCACTGCTAATGTTAAATTAACGCTGAACCATGTGTGTGAGTTCAGAGTTAATTTCCTCTCAGAGAGGAGCCTGCAGGCACCTGATGACACTAAGGACGGTCTGTGAGTTGAGGCCGTCATGACCTGTAGTAGCTGATAAGTGTATAAAAAACACTTGTGTATATAAAAAAAACCCACTTCTTGTACACCATCTGGCGCAGATTCTCATGACGGGGCTTTAAGCATGCAACTTTGACCATCTGCCCTTGCAAGTAAACTGGGTTAAAAAAATAAATTATCTCCTTTGTGTGAGCTCCTTTTAAGTAGATGATGCAAGGATATTTTCATCCAACACCCCCACAGCGCTCAGATACATGGCTGTAAAATAAAATATCACAATATCCTCTCTTCATGCATGTGATACTGTATAATACAAAGTGTCACCTGCAGCGAGGCCAAGTTGTTACAGATTTATTAGTTATGTGGGAAAACTCTAGAAACTTTAAAACGTTAAAGACCTCCATCATGATACATGATGCAAACACTGCACTACCGTCATACTGTGGGCACTTTCATGGCCTTTCTGGATTCGCCAGATATAAGAAACTTGTTTGCCGCCTTTACTGTAACTAATAACCCCCACCCCACACCTCCCTAAACATAATTACACATCACCTTGCCCCTATGGCAAGAGGTTGTAGGGGATCAATGTACACTTCACCTGCGTGTTTCTCACCTGCGACATATTGTTAATGTGCATATTGCGCGTCTGTTTGACAGCCTCCTCGTAGCGGGGGGGCTCTCTTGTCTTTGGGGGCCGAGTAACCAGGGTGTTGGGCTGGAAAATGAAGGAAGGCTGTGGAGAGGGCGACTGGGAGGAAGAAAAAGACAGAGCACAAGCAGTGTGAAAAACTCCATTATATCAAAACTAAATGATGCAAAGCAGCAGCAGCGTCTGGTCACAGCTCGTCACAGATACCTTACTGACGGGTCCGTTGGAGACCTGGTGGTTTGGTGAGGCCTGGGGAGAGACTCCGTTTTCTGGGGAGCTCCTTAGAAAACACTGGGGATGGATCTCAGCTCTTGTTTGGTTCCCTAAACCAGTAGTGTTGTTACACATGGTCAGAGTCTGGAGAGACAGGGCAGAGGTTTCCATCAGACCACACAGAGATTTTAGATGTTTGTCAACGCTGATGGACAGAACATTATCATTTCTTCTCCATAGTCTTAAGATGTAGTTTTCAAATATAAAAACTTGGCTTTTAGGGAAAAAGCAACACCTTTTTCAAACAAACTAAATATCTAATGTGACTGACTTGTAGCAGTGGCTGCTGGCTGGTCGTCATCTCCACCTTAGTGGTCTGCAGCGGAGGACCTGAAGCTTGAACCAGACCTGGGTTTGAGACTGTGGCCTGAAGGACAGGCTGGAAGAAAAAAAAAAAAGTATTAGACAATTTATAAGATTGGTGGTCCCGTCTGTAAATGTGTTAAGAGTTATACATATGTTTGAGTAATGGAAGCCGTCATACCTGCAGGCTGACGGTGGAGCTGGGCAGCTGGATCGCAGTAGCGTTATTGGGCAGTGAGACAGGGAAGAGGATCTGAGCTCCAGCCTGACCAGTCAGCAGTGTCTGAGGCTGACCCAGGACCTGGGACACCCCACCAGGGTGGCGGATAAAGAACTGCTGCAGGCCAGAGGCTGCAGGCTGAGCCTGGATTTGTGGACTTTTCTGGGGCTGGAGGCAGAGCTGTGGGTTGGTGGCTACTTGGGGCTTAGTTTGAGGCTGGAGCTGCGTGATGAGCTGGGTTTGGGTCTGGAGTTGAAGTGGCTTACCTGAAGAAACAGCCACATCCTCCAGTTTCACCACAGTTGGCAGGGGGGTTGTGAGGGAGTTGGCAGTCGTGTTGGACAAACAGTTCGACAGCACAGCTCCCTCCATTTTTACTCCATTTGAGTTGTAGACAGCAGGAATGGTGCTGATGGGAGACACAGAGCCTGTGGAATCAGCTGCACAGCCAACCTGACCTCTCTTCTCCACCTCAAGCTGCATCTTCAGCTCCTCCACCAACCTCTGCTCCTGCTCCAGCTTTCTCATCAACTCCTCTATCTGCCGCTCCTTCTCATGGAGCCTCCTGTCCTTTTCCTCGGGGACTTGAAAAGACGGTTGAGGGGAGGAGCGTGGCCCTGCAGAGCCAAAACATCCTTTTTGCATTTCAGCTTGAGACTCAGACATACTGACATCCAGCTGGAGGGAAGCTGGATCAGCAGGAGTGGGTGAGACAGGAGACATAGAGCTTATACTCTCCAGAGCCACCTTCTGAACTGGAAGGACTATGGGAGGTGCTGAAGTCGGGGTGACTTCCATAGCGATGGAGGTGGCGGTGGTAGTGGCAGGAATAGTAGGAGGAGTGGCGATGTCTTGGAAAGGCTTCAGTCTTTCTATCAGATCTGTTTTTGTTCCCGACACCGGGAGACCACGCAGTTTGAGCTCCGATTTGAGCTCAGTCACCTGAAAAACAAAAAAACATTGTTAAAATTTAGGGCGAGCAAAGAACTTTTGGTACAAATAGATCGTCACACACCTTCATTTCCTCAAGGTTGGCTGTTAAGACTCCTGGTTTGCGGTTAGACACAGAGTTGTTCAGACGAGCCTGAGGGGGAGGGAGAGGTGGGTTTGCTGTCGGCAAAGACACCATGATGGAGGCTGGCAGCTTACTGATGCTGTTGTTCTGACCCTCTGCCACAGATCTACAGGGAGACAGAGCATCACTAAAAGAAACGGTACCTTTGCACAACATGAGGCGAGGAACAGGAGTTAGATCAGTAAAGAGGCCATCCATTCTGCGGGTTTTCAACCACATAAGAAAACCAGTCAACCACACAGTCTAAAGAAAGCTTTGCTGTGAGAAAACGTCTGGAAACAGCAGCTTGTGACAACATTCTGTCATTCATAAGGGTGGACACGAGGCTGTCATTAAAAAGCATTATTGGCCCTGTGAGATGGAAAAAAATATATATAGTTGGCTTAGATTTGAGGAATTTTGAGGAGATCAAGCCAAACGAATCCCAAAATAAAAACAAGTGGTGAATGTTTGAAAAATGCATGTCCGTAAATCATCGTTTCTCATCATTGGATGGGAGCCGTTTAATTCTTGGATTTGCACACATACTTGAGGGGTGCTGGTAGTATGGTCTGATAGTTGTAGTGCTGCTGCTGCTGCTGACTGAGGATCTGCAGCTGGAGGAACAGCTGCTGCTGCTGCAGAAGGCGGGCGTACGACGAGTCCATGGGCGCTTCACTGGGCTCCTGCTTCTGGTCTGGAGGAACGTACTGGTGGTACTTGAGCTTTTTCACCCTCGACTTTGGCTCCTTGCCCTTCTTGCTGCGACTCTTGTCTGAGGAAGTTCTCTGCTGGCTTTGCTGTTGTGGAAGGACACGGAAAACAAAATTAAACAAAATCCAACTAGCCTGATTTACTGGTCATTATGTGCTTTAATTATCTACTGGAACATTAAAATCATCTTAATATTTCTTTACCATATTTTAAGATAAAATGATCAATGAGCAATGTGAGCAATGCATTCTGGACTGAGCAGGCTGAGGACACCCATCCTCTCATTTTAAACACAACTTTGTCAAAACTGATGCCTTATACCTGCATGTACAGCTGAAGACTTGAGTCATAGTATGAAGTGTATTGATACCAGACTGGAGAAAAGACATTGTATCATTTCTAACATTTCATTTTCACCATCATACATGCAAGTATAGCCAAAATAAAAAAGGATGGATGTCTAATCTGCACAAGTCAAGATTTTGTCAACTAATGCTTTAATATAGTTTTTTTTTTTTTAAACTACTTTTTTGGGTCCTCAAAATTAATGTGACAAAATAAAAACAAAAAAAGTCTCAATGGGACGCTTTTCATAGAATTTAAAAAAACATTCTGCTCTGACGACAAAGTAAAATGATGCGAGTGAAAGCTGCTTTTAAAACGGGATTTGGACATTAAAATATTGCATAAGAGTACAAACATACTTGTTCTGTATAACTAGAAAGTTTTATTGAATTTACCAACTAAAATAATTTTACCTTTTGCAGATTTGTGATTTTAATTCTTTCAGCTTTTCCCTCTTCAGGGGTCACCACAGCGAGTCATCCTCTTACATTTCTGTCCTCTAACTACCTCTATACATCTCCTGACTTTTTCCTGGTAGCTGCATTTCTAACATCCTTCTACGTCACCAACAGCCACTCTTAATGTAATGCAGGAGATATACAAAGATCTGTTTGGACTTGATTATGTTAGCCATGGTGAAAAGTCAAAGTGCCCTCCTCTGCTCTGCACATGCTCACCTCAATAGCTGATGACAGAACGTAAGTATTAAGATAGCTTCCCATCTCTCCGATGGTCTGCATGTTAGTGTACACTTATATACAGGGCCTTCTAAAAAAATTAGCATATTGTGATAAAGGTCATTATTTTCCATAATGTTATGATAAAAATTAAACTTTCATATATTTCAGATTCATTGCACACCAACTGAAATATTTCAGGTCTTTAATTGTTTTAATACTG